GGAGCAATTGCTACCATTTGGGGTTCATGAAACTTGTTCATATCCTTTTACACATGGTAAATATGCTTAGACAAGCAACATGGATTCAATTAAATTTTAATTCATATCTTTGTGTAAGGGTTGTCATCAATTACCAAAAAGGGGGAGATTGAAAGCTCTAGTTTGGTTTTGGTGAATTGATGAAACCCTAAGTGCTAACCTAGTTTATTAAAGTGATTATGAGATAGGTAACACTACTCCAAGTGGTGAAGCAAATGAAGATCATGACATGATGATGGTGATGCCACGGTGATGATCAAGTGCTTGGACTTGGAAAAGAAGAAAGAGAAAAACAAAAAGCTCAAGGCAAAGGTGAAATTGATAGGAGCTTTTCAGTTTAAGTGATTGAGACACTTAGCGAGTGTGATCACATTTAGGATCGATAGCCATGCTATTAAGAGGGGTGAAACTTGTATCGAAATGCGGTTATCAAAGTGCCACTAGATGCTCTAACTCATTGCATATGCATTTAGAATCTAGTGGAGTGCTAACACCCTTGAAAACATTTGTGAAAATATGCTAACACATGTGCACAAGGTGATAACTTGGTGGTTGGCACATTTGATCAAGGGTGGTGAAGTTCAAGGTCAAAAGGAGAAGTTTTGTATTGACCGGACACTGCCTTGGGTAGTGACCGGACTCTGACCCCGCGTCCGGTCACTGGCGCGCAATGAAGGCCGCCCTCGGTCCCTTGACCGGACGCTGAAGAGAAAGAGGGACCGGACGTGCAGGGGGTGCGTCCAGTTGCCTAGTGACGTACGCTGACGTAAGCAACAGTGAGAGGCTGAGTTGACCGGACGTAGGCCTAGATCTGGTCATGAGCCACCGGACGCATCCGGTCATGAATTTATACCTCTGGAACCTTACTGAAAGTGACCGGACGCCAGACGACAGTGCGTCCGGTCCTACACTACAGTGCGTCCAGTCGCAACTTAACACGTGGCATGAAGGTGACTAGCCATTAAGATCGGGCGCTCAGCATTTGAGACTGATGACACATGGCGAGCATCGAACGACCAGACGCTAGGGTCCTGTGTTCGGTCAACCTGACCAGCACGTCCGGTCAGCCCGTGTTTCAGAGGACTAAGGAGCCAACGGCTCTATTTCGTTGGGGTTCTATTTAAAGGGGTGTGGCTATCTCTAGCTCACTCTCTTGGCCATTTGCATTGACATAGCAACCTTATGAGCTTAGCCAAAGCCCTCCCACTTATCTCCATCATTGATTCATCATCTTTGTGAGATTGGGAGTGAATCCAAGTGCATTGCTTGAGTGTTTGCATCTAGAGGCACTTGGTGTTCGTGTTTCGCTGCAGGATTCGCTTGTTACTCTTGGTGGTTGCCGCCACCTAGATGGCTTGGAGCAGTGAGGATCATCGAGCGGAAGTTGGTGATTGTCTCCGGTTCCGATCGTGATGATTGTGAGTGGTTCTTGACCTTTCCCCGACGAAGAGCCAAAAGGTACTCTAGTAAATTACTCATGGCTTGTGTGATCCTCATCTTGTGTTGGTTGTGCGGCACCCTATTGAGGGTTTTGGCGTGTGATGCCAATTAGCGCGTGAACCTCTAAGTGAGTGTATCGCCACAACGAGGACTGGCTTGCCGGCAAGCAAGTGAATCTCGGTAAAAAATTATTGTGTCAACATTTGATTCCGAGGTGATTGGTATTCATTGGTATTTACTCTTGTGGTTGATTGGTTCATTCCTCGACTTGACGGTATAACCATGTTGCTCTCTCTCTTTACATTACCGTAAACTAGTTGTCGGACTCTTTAGTGTAGCTAGTCGTGAGAGCTTGTTAGTTTAGTTAGTGTGGCTCTTTAGTTATTCTTTGAGAGCACAGTAACTTAGTGTAGTGATATAGTCATTGTGTGCATAGAGACTATATAAACTAGAATTATGGTAGGTGACTTGCATTTTTAGTAGGCTAGCGCAACACTCGCTTCGCCTCATATTTGTCTAACCGGTTTGCTAAATGTTGTTGTAAAAAATTTTATAGGGTATTCACCCCCCTCTAGCCATCAAAACCTTTTAGCTCGCCGCTGCAGCTCACGCCAGTGCGTCTTTGATTCCCTAACCACCACCCAATGTTACGCGTTTAGCCATAGATGGCGACCGACCCGCTAAGTGGGTCCACGCAGGCCTCTAGTGGTCGGCATGGACGCCCAATGCCGCCGCTCGCCGCACCGCCATGCACGGGATGACCGGGGGTGCGTGCAGGGAAATTTGGAAAAATCCAGGGGATTAAATGAATTCGTCAGAGAAAGAAAGAAATAGTATTAAGACCTAGTCGTGATTCGGGAAAAGTCTGAGGGCTCATTTGCTAAAGTGCCAGCGTGGGCTCTCCACCGTGGGCCGTCTCATGCATGGGTCGCGTCCCACGCTGGGTCGCTGGGTCTGCTGGGCCGAATGCTTGCCACCGGCCTTTTTGTTTTATAAAACATTTTCTAATTTAGTTTCTAAGGTAAACTTGTAAATTTAATATAAAATTGTGTAGTTAACAAAAAAATTGTGAAATCAATTTTGTTAGATTTCTAAAATCATGATCTATCTGCTAGTATATTTTATTCACATAGTTTTATTATATTTTCTAGAGTTATCTAATTAATTTAAGATGCTTAATAGTGTAAGATATAAACTTGTAGAAACTATTGTGATAAATTGGTAATAGTGTTGGCTCTGAAACTTTCACAGTAAATTCCTAATATTATTAGGTGCTCACTGTAATTTTTGTAGCTCCATAATAATTAGTTTGCTAAGATAGCTAAATGAGTCCTAATTTAAAAATATATATTTAATCAATAAAATGTCGAAACACCTTGAGATTTTAAAACTAGAACATTTTTCGGGAAACAATGTCTTATTCGACAACGTGGTACGTAGCCTAGTACGTTAGTCATTAGAGCTAGCTCGTTGGCTTGAGAGGCGTAATCGTATTTTTAAGAGTTGCAGTTACTGTTGCTTAATTGCGTCTCTGCGCTGCATCCACGTATATCATAATAGGAACAGCGATGGATCATGGAGTCGACCGAAGTAGCAGAAAAGATGGTGCCTCGGTGATCATGTCACCCTGATGGAGTGCTAACCTTTGGTTATATCTTACCCAGGCAAGCCCCGGTGCATAACCTCTATTATTCTGTACTTTATTTTATGCTTGAGCATTAAGTTTTAAGGAGTTGAATGAAAACCCACTTGCACATATATATATCCTTATTATATGAGTCCTACTAATATGTTAGGATCGTGTAGATTGCTATGTTATAGGATCCTGTAGAAGTAGAGTGATTACCTGTCACTCGCGAGAGATAGAAAATATATTATTGTTGTTTTTATATTACTATCACATGGAATATATTACTATCACAAGGAATGGTACTTTGGATCTAGACTTGGTTAGGCATTCGAGCGAGGTTCGGATTGCATTTGTTCCGCCTATATCGATTGAGGACCGTCTGTTGCTGTGGATGGTAGTCAGGTCACAGACTTATTATCCTGAGCACATACTTGCTTATGAGAGCGGGAAGACTCATTACGCTCTTGTCGCGGGTTCCGGCTCTTTTCGGCCCGACTAATTGGAGGCGGGAAAAGATGGATGTCTAAGCATCATACTGAGACCGGATTTCAAGTGTGGGGCTTAGAGTCTAAGTTTGTACGGGGATCTGGACCCTGTGATAGGAGTAAAATGGGTTGGTCTTGTTTGTGCCTAGGGTACAAGCGAGACGTGTGTTTCGGGGTACCCAGCTGAGATACATTAATTCGCGAATCGCCGTTTTTATGAAACGGACCGACTTGGCTATGGTCTAGCACCGTAGTAAGAACTAAAATATGAAATATGGTAAAATGGTTCTAATTGTTTACCACCTGCTTGAAAGTAGCATATGTGCTTACATAGAATGATTAGTTAATGAACTAATGATGACTGCTAATAAAATTTAATATAAGGACGCATGTTTAGTAATGCTTTCGCAGATGCAATAACCCATAAGCCAAATAAGCTTTGCATATCCTTTGAGTCTTTTATTTTTCTCCTGTCGGGTAAGTCTTGCTGAGTACAATCAAGTACTCAGGATTTTATTCCCCCTGTTGCAGGTGATCAGAGGATACTTAGAGCTGACTCTTGTGTGGAAACCTCCTGGTGGGCTCAGAGAGAATTTATTTCATGCTACGACCGCAGTGTTTATTTATAACCCTCACTAGAGATTTTTATAAGAAAAGATGTAAAATCTGCTAGCATCTTTTGGATAAAAATGTCCATTATGTTAATGCTCCACCATATCATTAAATAAATTTTTACTTCCCCTGTAACTCTGATAATATTGTTATATTCCGCTGTTATAATCAATTGAGTTAATATTCTGTTACTGTAATAAAGTGATGTAATAAATGGCTTAAGAATGTTGTAAACTTTATTCTCTCATTTATGATTCTGATGAAAAAAATTGGATTTTCGAGTCCTCCCTTGGAATGTGCTCGACGGAACTGCGTAGTTTAGCGTCCTCTCTTGAGTATTTAATGTTTAATGGAAGATAAATACTCCTGAGAGGTATTAGATTATGCGGTTTTGCCACATGCTGATTCTCTTCTTCAGACATCTGACTACCATGTTCTGCATCTACAGCATCCCAGAGCTCTTCTAACACACATGTAGGGAATCTGCTCAGAACATTTGTGATTGTGACCCCACTTTTCTCCACAGCGAAAACACAAGCCATTCTTGCGGCCAAAGCTCTTCAGGGTCTGTAGCTTGTCTTCGGACTCAGGAGTCATTTGGTGCATCTTATTCTTGTCTGAATCTGATCCTTTCTTCTGTTCAAATGTAGACCCCTTAGAATAATTCCAACTGAATTCCTTGCTGTAAGTCCTGCTCTTACTCTGACTCAACTCCTCTTGTAACAGAGCAAGTGCACTGGCTGTGTCGACATTGTTGGGGCGGTGCAATGCAATGGCCCTCTGATGTCGTCACATTACCCGGCCACAAATCGAGTCACGAAATTAACATCATCATATGCAGGGTTATAGAGGAGAATACCGTGAGACAGTTGCTCGAATTCAGTCTGATACTCTGTAACCGACCCGGTTTGCCTCAGAGATTCCAGCCGCTTGAGTTGAATCTGATACTGATCTTTGTCGAACTTGTCCAAGACGAGCTGACAGAGAGTTGGCCAATCCGTGACCCGAGCCCGGCGTTCCACCGTCTGCATCCAGGTCGCCGCGGCCCCCTTGAAATTGAGGATGGCGAACCGCGTCTTCATGGCCGGATGCACCGCATACACCTCGAAGTACATGTTGCAATTGTCACGCCACAAACGAGGATTATCACCAGAGAATTTGGGAAACTCAACCTTGGGTATCGGTGGGGAACGCGGTAACTGAAAACCATCAGCATCTGGGTGAACCATCGGCTGAGGTAAAGGAATGGTGAGAGGCATACCCGTGACCGGGAGCGGTGGTGGAAATCCAAGGATCCCACCACCCACATCCCGGTGCTCGTGTGGAAGGCCGTGCCCATTGGGCAGCATAGAGCTCGACGCAGGAGATGGCGATAGCTGCGGAGCGGTGTTGAGATCCAACCATCCAGGCGGGGGTTGGGGAAGCGTCGCGGGCGCCGCGCCGAGAGGTGGAGGTTGTAGAACCCGCGGCAACGGCGGAGGCGGTGGGGGTGGCGGTGGTGGCGGCGGTCGGGACTCCAGGTGCTGGATCCGCTGCGTCGCGCTCTGGGACTGCTGCACCATAGATCCCATGGACGTCTCCACCACGGTACGCCACGCTTCAAGGTCCTGGAGCTTGTCGAGCGTAGTCGATACCGCCTCTTGCAGACTGGAGAATTGCTTCGCCATATCCTAAACTCCGGCGAGTTGCTTGGCCATGGTCTCCATGGTCGACTTGAGGTCTTCCATCGAGGTCGCCATATCTAACTGGAATTTGGTGGGCTTTTTCTTCGGCGCCAGAGCGAAGACGATTTGGGTACCAATTGTTGTGTACGGGGTAGTAATCTGGAAGTGGAATTGGGGATAGGATAGAAGAATTTGGGTACGAATGGGAAGAACGCGGCTGAGTTCCGCGGGAACGACGACTAGATTCCCAGAAACGGTTAAGAGTTTGTTACATTTCGTGCCCACCTCCTCTCCCGAGCCGGCTTATATACCGCCGACCCACTGAATACAGAAAGGGCCGAAGGCAACACACACTCACGGCCCAAGGCCCAGGCCCACTATGAATACAGGTTCCTTACATACTAGTGAATGGCTGGATAAAGTGGCTTAGTTCTTTGATTCATACTCAAGTATGGTTTACAGTCACTCGCTATGAGCAACATGTTTTCAATTGGTACAACTGAAATGAGTAGCGATCGTTCAACTGAACACCTGCTGCATTTTTTTCCTGTAAGTACCATCCATTTCGGATTTCTAAAGACTGCAGTTCAATCTGCTTTTGCATTTGGTAGAGCTTATGTTCCATTCCATAAGCTTCTATTACAGGCTTATAGGCACAGATGTAATAGATATGAAAGTCATCTCTAGATCTTGCGGCAACACGTAGAGGATTCATCTAGTTAATATAGTTTTAGAGCAACTCCCAGAGCCTCTTTATAACCTTCCTTATTGAATATGAATATAGATTTTGATGAAAAAAAAATACACACCAACAACCTTTTTAATTGGATCTCCAAATATTATCCTGCATTTCGGATTTCTTGCTTGCCAAAGATGGAGAGCGAAGCTGACTCTCTAGAATACGCATAAGATATAGAAAAGTTGTTAAAGGGTGGAAACATACACCAAGATCGATTTTTATACAAATAGATCTCTAAATAATGATTTAGAGTGTTATACTTCAGAGATACTTTATAGCTATATATACTCTTATAGCTATATCTGCACCTCTTGCTGCTCCTTTCCACATATGGATGAAAGCTGAAACTCACTTGGAGTTGCTCCATCTCCGCATTCGGGTACTAGCTTTCAATGCCTGAAAAAACAAAAGAATTCAATACGTGTGGCATAGTCTAGAAAACCGACAAAAAGCATGGAATCAGCTATGATTTTCATTTTGCAAAAAGGAAATAGATTTTGTAGCTCAATGTTATGAATAAAATCGAACCTCTTCATTCCAATCACACCGTAGAATGGTATATGCCAGTATTAGAGTTTGCACCATTGTGCCAACGATCATTCCGACCCAAATTCCCTACAAAAACAACAAGCTAAGTAAGTGCGGAATGCATATAAATGTCAAGCTAGAAGTGCATTATGACGACTTATACTTGAACCCCATAATGCAAGCCCCATCCTAGCAGAAAACCGAAAGGAACACCAATCAAGTAATAGCTCCCAATGTTGACATAAGCAACCAATGCCTGCCACCCTGAACCAACAGCAACTCCTGCGATTACAGTAATTAAACAAAGATGTCACTACTGTTTTGTTCAGGAAAAGAAATTTGACAATGGGCAGACCTAGTAGTGAAGAAATTAGCCACCACCATATTGCGTTACAAGGTTACAAAATCAAGATATGTGGCATTTTAGAGGACAGGCATACCAGAGAGCACAGGTTGGATTCCATTGAAGAGGATGGTGAGGGCCAGCAGAAAGGAAATGTTGTCTACTGCATCGATCACAGCCTGACTCGACGAGAAGATCATTCCGAGTTTGTCATGGAAAATCAGTATGAGAAAACTAATGAATAGGCTGATCAGAAATGATGTCGTCATCGACACAATTGTCGCAAATCTCGCTCCTGCTCCGTTGGCTGCACCGAGCTCATTAGCCACCCTCACCCTTGTAACATTATTAGGACACACCGTTAACTCTTTCTGCACAGTACTACTTAAGAGTAGAAGAATAATTACGCAGTTTGGTTGCTTACCCAGTGCCTGCTAAGAATCCCAAATGAATCATCATTTCCCATCCAGCATAACTTATACTGTTCATTAAGGAGAGAGAGAGAGAAAATATAGGAGTTCATGAGATTTCGTATTCCTAGTTTATTGTCCAATGTGAGATTTCCTCTATGGTAAAAGAATCCCAGAAATGGTGGTTCTACCAGATGGACAGTGCATCGACAGCCAGTTCAGCGTTCTTCACATATCCCGTCAGGAAAACCAAGATCCGGTAGTACCAATTCTCCAAGCTGCAAAACAGAAGGAAAAAATGCCATACAAATATATAACACTTTTGTGTAAACAACTTATTCGTTTTTGCAACTTAGATCACCTTCCTCAATCCTCCTCTTCATGTAGTCATGAGCGATGCATGTAATAAGCCAAGTAAAATGTGGACATCATCCATATAAGGCACATACCAGAGCATGACACCAGACGCCGCGGACAGCTTGATGAAGTCCTTCAAGTCCACGAACGCTGAAGCTGAGAATCCCCTCCACGTCTCCGGGCACCCGCTGCCGAAGGATTACGAGAGGAGGCCCACCGTTGCGAGTGCCCAGGACAAGGTGAGCGCCATCGCGGCTCCAAAGACCCCGAGCCGGAAGTAGTGCACCAGCAGCCAGGTAGCGACGACGTGCACGGGGAACGCCGCGGCCGTGGTGACCGCGGCGACCCAGTTCTTGCGCTGGCACTGCAGGAACTTGTTGAGCGGCAGGATGATGGCGTAGACAAAGTGCAGAGGGAGCATGTACAGGCTGACCACGCCCGCCTGGCGCGACAGCTCGGCGGGCTGGCCCAACGCGGTGAGCAGCTGCCCGCTGAAGATGTACGTCGGAGTAAGGAGCACGGCGAAGCTGAGGAGGATGAGCCACGAGCGCTGCAGGTAGATGCCCATCATGTGGTACTGCTTTGCACCGTAGGCTTGGCCGCAGAGCGTCTCCATTGCACTCGCCATGCCAACCTGTGAAATGTATCTGTTCTCCATATATGTCGATTTGTGTACTATAAACATGAAAAACAGTTGCAAGAACGTACAGTACCTGTCCGATGCATCAAATTTTAATCTGTTACCTGAGGTGACAGCTGAGCTGAACTGAATTTAACTCTACTTATTCTAATTACTGCCACAAAATTCAGCCGTTTTCTAATTGTTTCCGAGAGAGAGAGAGAGAGAAGAGGAGAAAACTATCTGAATTCATCCACTACTGCACAATTGTACACATATACCTCCATACCGGCAAGCCCCATTCCTCCCCAACTTTCTTTATTCAGATTTGGCTCGATTTAAACTCAAGTTTATGTAAACGAACCCAAATTGGATAGCAGATAAGAAGTGTACTTACAAAGAAACCAAAGCTGAGACCGGAGATGACAGTGGTGGCGATGGAGAAGGCGGCGAGCTCAAGGTCACCGATGTGCCCGGCAAAGGCCTGGCTGACCACGGTCATGCCATAGAATGTCAGCCTCGTGAACGCGGCCGGGCCGGCGACCACCCACAGCTTCTTGGACTCTCCCCATACCTCCTTCGCAAGCTCGGGGATCCTGCCTCCTCCCCTCCTGTCCGGCAGCTCGGAGTCGGAGATGAGCGGGACATCGCTCCGACTCTCCATGCTTCACAATGGCACTGTAGTAGAGCAGTGGATCCAGACAACCTGCTGGATCGGAAATTCGGAATAGACCGGATGCAAGAGCGCGCACAAGCAATGATAGCCACTACCAAATCATTTGTTTAATAAATCGCCTGCCCCTGCCTGAAACATGCTGGGTAATGAACCCGTTCCTCGCTTGATTTCTGGACTGATAAGTCCGGTGCTGGTTCGTTACGAGAAAAAAAACACTCGCTGACTGAAATAACCAACCAGGAATATGTTATGGGGTGATGTGACCCTACACTATCAACTAGCTATTAATATCATATTTATATTTCAACAAAATTCTTTTACATAAATAATTTCAAAAGACAATATATTTTATTAGAAAGCGGCTAAAATACGGCCGGCCGTAATTTGGATTATCCGCACGGCCTTACCGTCTCTACCTTCTCCATCATTATTTGAGCGTGGAGCACCAGGTGGGCGAGAAGAACTCTGACCTGGAGCACCAAGACCTCCGTAGAAGCCTAGACCACCAAAGCCATAGTCACTGGTCGAGTACTTGGGACCACTACCAAAAATATCCTGCCAGAAAGTGGAACCAAACTCCTCTCCAACACTGGGACGTGGCTGCTGCTGTGCCTGCTCCTAAATCTGCTGTTGCTGCCGAGCCTGCTGACATTGAAAGAACTCAGCAAACTGTCTGTCATACCTGGTCTACTACTGCTCCTCAGTCTCAGGCTCACTGGCTGCCTCATCTGATAATGGAGACCTAGGAGGCTCAAGCTCAAATCTAGCAGCAATCTGCTTCAGAGTCCGAGTATCCTTCCTCCTAGCCTCCCTCTCCTTCTAGTGCCTAACCTGTATGTCTCTGCACATTCCAAATATAGAGCTAAAACATGCGGATAGGCGAGGAAGGACCGCCACAACGTGAAGAAGAATGTGGAGAAGCACGTGGCGGAGGGTAATCTCCTCCTACTGCTGCACCACCTTGAAAGCTCTAGTTTGGTTTTGGTGAATTGATAAAACCTTAAGTGCTAACCTAGTTTATCAAGTGATCATGAAATAGGTAGCACATTCTAAGTGGTGAAGCAAATGAAGACCCTGATATGATGATGGTGATGCCATGGTGATGATCAAGTGCTTGGACTTAAGAAGAAAGAGAAAAACAAAAGGCTCAAGACAAATGTATAAATGGTTGGAGCCATTTTGTTTTAGTGATTAAGACACTTAGTGAGTGTGATCACATTTAGGATTGATAGCCGTACTATTAAGAGGGGTGAAACACGTATCAAAATGCGGTTATCAAAGTGCCACTAGATGATTTAACTCATTACATATGCATTTAGGATATAGTGGAGTGCTAACACCCTTGAAAATATTTGTGAAAATATGCTAACACATGTGCACAAGGTGATACACTTGGTGGTTGGCACATTTGAGTAAGGGTTAGAAACTTCACTGGCGGAGTGTCCGCCCGTAGAGTGCGGACAGTCCGATGGTGCCACCGGCGTCCTATACAGAAAAGACGGATGTCACTATAAGTGACCGGACGCTGGTCTCGATAGGACCGGCGTGTCCGGTCAGTAGAAGCAGCGAAGACGCTGGCGTTGGTCTCTGACCGGACGCTAGGTCATTTAGTGACCGGACGCTGGAGGGTTGCGTCCAGTCTTGCTGATGTGACAGTGCACAGAGAAGACGCCGAGTGACCGGACGCTGGGTGAGTCCGGTCGAGCATGACCGGACGCGTCCGGTCGTGATTTCTCGTTTCTGGATGCTTACTGGAAACGACCAGACGCTGAGGTCCAGCGTCCGGTCACTTCGCAGCAGCGCGTCCGATCATCACTTAACCGTTGGGATCGGGTGCTCAGTATTTGAAGAGAGGGGACACGTGGCGTGCATCGCACGACCGGACGCTGGGGTCCTGCATCCGGTCACCCTGTGTTGTACACAGTGAAGGGGTACAATGGCTCTATTTTGTGGGGGCTTCTGTTTAAGTCCCATGGCCGGCTCAAGCTCACCCTTTTGGCCATTTGTATTGACATAGCAACCTTATGAGCTTAGTCAAAGCCCTTCCACTCATCTCCATCATAGAATCAACATCTTTGTGAGATTGGGAGAGAATCCAAGTGCACTGCTTGAGTGTTTGCATCTAGAGGCACTTGTTGTTCGTGTTTCGCTGCGGGATTCGCTTGTTACTCTTGGTGGTTGCCACCACCTAGACGGCTTGGAGCAGCGAGGATCGTCAAGCGGAGGTTGGTGATTGTCTCCGACTCCGATCGTGGTAATTGTGAGGGGTTCTTGACCTTTCCCCGGTAGAGAGCCAAAAGGTACTCTAATGAATTGCTCGTGGCTTGTATGATTCTCATCTTATGTTGGTTGTGCGGCACCCTATTGAGGGTTTGGCATGTGATGCCAATTAGCGCGTGAACCTCCAAGTGAGTGAATCGCCATAACAAGGAGTAGCTTGCCGGCAAGCAAGTGAACCTCAGTAAAAAAATCATTGTGTTCATTCTTTGATTCTGAGGTGATTGGTCTTTATTGATATTGATTCTTGTGATTGATTGGTTCATTCCTCGATACGGTGGTATAACTATCTTGATATCTCTCTCTTTTACATTATCGCAAACTAGTTATCAAGCTCTTTAGTGTAGCTAGTTGTGAGAGCTTGTTAGTTTGGTTAGTGTGACTCTTTAGTTAGTCTTTGAGAGCGCACTAACTTAGTATAGTGCCATAGCTATTATGTGGTTAGAGACAATAGAAACTAAAATTGTGGTAGGTGGTTTACATTTTTTATAGGCTAGCGCAACACTTGCTTCGCCTCATAATTGTCTAACCGATTTCTTAAGTGTTGTTGTAAAAAAATTTAATAGGCTATTCACCCCCCCTCTAGCCATTAGGACCTTTCACACCTGTAGGTGCATCTGCCTCTGCTGCTGCTACTTCCCCTGGACCTGCTGGAGGTACTCCAATCTCAGGTAGATCTACAACTATCTTCAGGGCCTTATGAATCTTGTCATAGTCGAAGGTATGCCATATCATCTGCTCAATCATATGCATTAAGTACGGAGCAAAACTACAGCCCTTGAGGGGCCTCTCTCCAACACTCCTAATCTCACACCAGATAAAGTCGAATACACTAAAGGGTCATGCATCTGGTGCCATCCTGTGGAGTAAGTTCCTGGAATAGTCTGCTATGTTGCCCTTATCTCCACCCTTATAGTCAATGGTCTTCCTGAACATCCTATCCAGGTATCTATAGATAGGGTGAAGACCTAGAACCTTCCACACTGCTCCTCTTTTACCTCCTGGTGGATACATGTAGGTGAGCTGCTCTGGAGGTAGCACCTACTCTGAGTGGATCCTATCTCTCTAGAGATCATCCTCTAAGAAACTAAGCAGAGCTGCGAAGGCGTCGTAACCAACATTGTACCACTGGCCCTCAAACATCCAGTGCATCTGCCTCTCATCCTCCTCAACAAACAGGGTGGCATAGAACTGAGCTATCACCTCTGTATTCCAGTCATGCTAGAACTCCATGATCTCATATACCCCTGTACGCTGACAAATGGTAACTGCATGATCTATGGAGGGTTTCTGCAACTCTCTAACATACTGCCAGTCAATCCACTAAGATCTGGCTATCACTGGGTTCCTGGTGAGTATCACACTAGAGTAGAAGTCCATATGAAACATAGTGTGAAAGCGATGATCATACTGAATCCTCTACAAATCTCTAGGATTTATCCTCCTCTGATCCCTAGCTTTCTTGGTCATACCCTTACCACGATAATCAGCTCTAGCAACATAATTGGGTAAGACTGGAGCATGTACCTCAAGAAGACCAAAGTGCATACCAGGAGCAGGCTGCCCTAGCTAAGGTAGGTATTGCACTGGAGGTATTGTCTGCTCCTCCTCAATCTCTTGCTCATCATCTGAGCTGCCACCATCTGAGCCTCTATCAATGCTCTTTCTCTTGCTGTCTCTAGGCTTCACTCTGTATTCATCTGTGTCAGTGTTAGAGGAAGAACTACTACCTCCCTCTCCTATACTATGGAGCAGTACTGGTAGCTACTCTAGAAGACCCCCTGTTGGTCTGCTGCACACTAAAACCAGGATGCATGTCCTGCCTTTCTTTCTTGTGTCTATCCAATACAGGATCATGACTGAACTTGGATCTAGGTTCCTGTCTCCCACTCATGGCTGCTGCCCTTGAGAACGAAGAAGAGAATGCAAACTGAAATCCAAGTCCTGGAGCCTTCAATCTTGACGCAAGCCTCCTCCAATCCAATCACCCTCTCTTTCTTTTCTTGGTGGAATCACAAAATTGCCAATGGTAGACGAGGAGAGGTGGCTAGGTGTATGCAGGAAGAAGGAAAAGAGACAGAGAGGTCTAGGGCCGAAGGGGTACGTTCGGTTTTATTAACCCATGCATACCGGACACGTCCGGTATTTGCGGGCTGGTTGTTTTTGTTCCAAAAATTTATTATCTTGATTCCAATCCCCTTCTTTGTTATTACTTAGTCCCAAAAGGTATATAATCTTGATCCAAACCGAGTATAATCAATTTTCTTATCTAATGCTATTAATTGATTTTCTCTTTTCCAAATATTTGGCATATTTATGATTTTGAAAAAATTGAGAGAGACTTAGAGAGACATAGGAGTTTATGGACTTGAGAGGGTCATTCCACTTGTGATTAGTCAAGCAAGCAATCAATGGGAGCAATAATCACAAATGACGTGACTTAGGTCACAAAGACCAAGAACCAAATAGGTTTTCCAAAATCACACCACCTATGCATTCTAGTTAGGGATTTTGAAAAACGTTTATCCTATGTCACATAAATGCACACTCTAGCATATAAAGAGCCTTAGATGCACTTACAAATGCACGTATGTAAATACATACCTTTGCCTTGAGCCCATAAGATCACCACTGAGACACATAGCATGATAATCATTATGTTGACCACATTTGCCAAGTAGTCATGCCATATATGGAATCAGTTTTCATCT